GTGACGCCATGAAAGTTTCGTTATTCATATGTTACATTTCCTTCTATGTTAATATTAAGTTTTCTATGGATACGACTGATGCTGGGCTACCGACTAGGCTCCCAACTGTCTAGGTGGTCTATGGTTCAAACTCTCTGTAGGCAACCTCCTCCTCTTAGCGACCTTGGCTTAGAATGAGATCTCTGTATAGTTGCTTGGAAATATTAAGAGGCTCAAATAGTAGATGATATTTCCTTCTCTATTTTCTTAATCGGATTGTTTTCGCTATTCTCTTATATTATTGGATTCTATAATAGGTCGGCGATATAACCTGTTGGTTAAAGACGATGAATGTGTTTCCTGTGTTGAAAAGCTAAGCGTTTACTATTACCCTCAGCCTTGGCAAATATGTACATGGAATGCTTTCAAACAACATCCTGGAGTCAATAATTCTTAAGCAAAAGCAAGAACTTATCTTATATACAAAGATATTGAAGAAAAATAGCATATTAATACTACAGTACTTCAAAGGAAATATGGGTAGTGTCGTTAGAACGTAAAGAACGTAAAGAAAAAAAGGTTAGTTTTGATAAGAACTTGTTCTTGTTCAATCGAAACCAAGTTACACTTGTTTACATTGGCTTTAATGGTGTCATTTTATATTTATAGAATTACGAAGAAATTAGAAAAGTATTATATTTATGCCATATAATATTTATATAATAATAAATTTGCAGAGACGTATTTCCAATTTTTTGATATCAATATGTTTAAAAATTGTTCGTAAACATCAGTAACCACGTCCAGGCCAGGACCTAGATCAAAAGAAGTTTTTTGGTACCAATTTCTTTACAAAATTTCCTTTGGTTACTCGCCTCTAAAATAGCTCTAACTGAAGTGTAAATAGACGCATATGAAATATCTAATTATAATGGAATAAGTGCATATCTTTAAGCCCTAAGATTCCCATAAATTCAGAAAAAGTAAATTTGTAACAAAAATAATGGCAATTATGGGGTGCAATCAAAAATAAGAGGTAGGGATTTTTTTATAACTAGGTATTAAAATACGAGAAATTTTGTCTATGTTACTGAAAGCTTGTAGATCAAAGAATTGCAAGGGCCAATACACCTCGTTCACCTTTTACCCGTTGTTACAAACTTTAAATGTATAGGCTACAACTGACCTGCAAACACGTCTATATTCGCCTATATACAGTCCGTACGATATTTGTTGAGATAGAATTCCAAGAAGACCCCTGCGTCACTTTCTTGGAATGAACCGCATTCGACACCCGATATAGAAAGACATTGGCGGCCTGGCGTTCACCGCTGCAGCTTGCAACTGTTTGTTGATTTTTAAATCAGGGACAAAGTCCGGAGACTACCACGACGACATGAATGATAGTGCGCCATTCATAATGAACAAATACAGAAAGCACCAAATTGCACCTCAAGAAAAACAGATACAGTAGATTGGTTATGTAAAAATATACCTTTTTCGCCGAACTGTATGAAATATTATATACATAATAAAAAATAACACATTGTTTACAAATTCAATCATCTACTCAAAGAAAACAGGCACGTGGCTTTGAAGCTCCCATTCTACCATATTGAAATGACACGGGCTCAAGTTAAAAACCATAGACAAAATAGACTGAACTGTAGAGGCAAGCCGGTGAAGCCAACCGTCAGCCCAACCTCAGCCCAGCCAGCCTCGCGCTCTCAGTCGCTGTTAGACATTCGATATGTTAACATTGTTAGTGTTTTATTAAATATATTGTTTTTATTTGTGCAATCATTGTAATAGCAGATCTGTTCACAATAGTGCTGAAATTTCATTCTTTAGGTAAGTAATAACATAAAAATATTTTATGCCATTCCGATGGCTTCGCGCAGCATTCTCCATCTCACTTGCACTTATTTCCAGTGTTGGCTTCATGTTTTTTAGTGCCACGTTATTAACTGATGTAAATATACATGCTCATATTATCAACCGGCTATTTACAATTAGTTTTTTGTAACAATTGGTGTTTATTTTCATGATGGCTCTTAAAAATAATTGTAAATATTGAACCCTCAACGTATAATTTCAATAATAAACATATATTAATGTTAAATTACAGGAAATTAGTTACTGAATAAAATTGTATTAGGTACCCATTTTCTTGTTTTTATTATCAGGTTTTCTAAATAGGGTGGAAATGAAATTGGAAAGGGTCTAAGCCATTAAAAAAAAAAGATTGGGCGCCCTCTAAATCGTCTGTTATATGTCCGTTACATTTTTAAGAGAAATTTATTATTATTAATAAAAACGGCGCTAGAAATTTATCCAAAAATGCAGTGCCAATTTTAAACTTGCAAGAGTGCAAACAAACTGTCGCTTAAAAAAGAAAAATGACAATTTAAGAAATAGAAATAATAATATATTTTTTTATAACTCCTATAAAAACAGTACACTCAAGCTACAGAAAAATAAACTTGTATATCATGTTATTAAAAAACTTTTTTAATGTGAATTTATATAAACAATATGGATAAGAACTTGTGAGGACTGTATGTGAAAAGTATATGAATTTAAAATATTTAAATCAGTGAAATCTACTAAAAGACAAATATTTAATAAACAAAACATTAAAATATATTATTTTCTGAATTCCAGACATGAAAAATGAATATTTGTCATAAGTGTAAAAATACTGTTTAATCCGGACCTGATCAAAGTATGCGCTGTCGGATTACCTCACACACTTCACTTCCCCGCAATTTGGCTTCATCGGTTCCCATGCTTTGGGATAGGAAACGTACACTCTAGGTGCTCTGTGTACACATAACAATGTAGCGAAGAAAAATGTTTTATTTAAATTAGAAGCTGTGAAAACTCTGACAGAAGAAGTATTTTCATCAGCTACTGTCGAACATTGGATGAAATGTTGTCAACATGTTAAAGTTGAGGATAATTACTTGCGAAGCGAGATTCGACTTGATGTGGTAGTAGATGACTTGATTATAACAGCTTTTGATAGTGAAGGTTCTAGTGATGAAGACGATTTCAAAAATTTATTAGATTAGTGGCTGTAGTAGGTTACTTAAATACGTGTTTCCTTGTTTATTCCTTTTTTGTACCAGCGTGTTTATAATTGTATTATTTTTTAGCTTATTTACTACCACTGTACTGTAAAAGAAATAAAACCACATTTTAATGCAAAAAATCTACGTACAAATAAATATTGTACGAATTATACTCAGTCTTATAATAATTTTGCTCGGAACTTGCTTTACCGGATGTTTAAAATCGTCAAGGACGTATATAAAGCTAATTTGTTTAAACGTGAAGTCCTTATTTTATACTTTAGTAAATAGCCCTTGAAATATCACAAAGAGTTGTGAAAAACCGTACTTATCTTATCAACTTCGACGTCACCTGTTACATGGGTGTTGCACAATAATGAAAAAGTAATATTAACGGTTGGTAGAAGGAAGCGCAAAAAGCAAACGCCTAGGTAGGGCATTCTGAAAGGAAGCCTAAATAGTTGAAGATAGGGAGTCGAGGTGAGAACAGTGTGCAGATAGGTAGCAAGACAATCGGCGGACAGTGTAGTGTGAAAGTAGTGGAAAATTAAGTGTTTAACCGGTATTAGTTAGCAGGTAATATTCTTTAAGTACTTTGTTGTTAATTGTTCTATGTAATCTTATGATTGTGATGGTTATATATGTTTCATGATAATAATTCTTTGTATGTTTAGCTTCCATTGCTTTATGCATATATTTTTCTAAGGTAAAATTGTTATAAATTATTATTTATTTCATGTTAAAATATATATATATTGTCGTGACTGCCCAGACATTACAATAATGACTCCTGTGTTTCACATCTAACTTGTTTTTGTCATGATTACGTTGTTCGAAAAACATAGATGTTTCATGATAATAATTCTGTGTATGTTTAGCATTCATTGTCTTACGCTCAGGGGCGTATATTTTTCTAGGATAAAATTGTTACAATTATTATTAACGATTGCTAATTATTTATTACATGTTAAAATATGTATATTGTCGTGATTGCCCATATATTACAATAACAGCTTCTTTGTTTCACATTTAACTTGTTTTATCTTGATTACGCTGTTCTTTGATTTCTTGTGCTCACTTTATGTCCTACGTCTATACGAGCCTTGTTGAGTTTACTAACATTTTCGCCCGTGCGGAATGAATCTATGTTGGGCTGGATTGCCTCCCGTATGGGACTCCAGTGCTGGGACAGATCTTCCGAAATCTCAACTATAGCTGGATTGCCTCCCGTATGATGGGACTCCAGTACCTTCCGGCCCTGCCGGCCAACTAACACCAAACCTCTTCAGTTTTACTTGGAAGTGTGTATGACTAATATGAGTGAGATGACATTTAGTGACACATTAAATGAGACAGGTCTTATTTATCATTAGCAAAGGATCTTCATTTATGCCTTTGGTTAGCGGTTGTTTTGTATTTATATTTGGGTGGTAAGAGCAACGATCGTGGGTTTCTCTGCCATGCTCTTTCCCCACAGGAGCTCTAGGTGAGCCTGGCACTCTCATTTTATGTTAAATGGCGGTTAATGTTTTTGTTGTTCTTTCTATTTGTCACATGTTTAATTTGAAGATTGTTGTACATAAATAATAAAGTTAGGTGTATTTACTCTGCTTCTGTTTTATAAAATTAAACCATACTTCCCCTCTTCAAAGTTAGTAGCCAGCGCCTTCCGGTCAATAAAAAATAGATGTATACAACGTGACGATCACATATTTTTGGCCACAACTTTGTATGATTTTTTTGACCGAACCCTGGGTTGTTATACTACAGAGTAAAGGTTACTTAAACAGAGATGGATTGTTTATATAAATGCTATATAAATTATGAATTTCCGTAGTTCTCCTAAAAAATCCCGTATTACTACCCTGTACAAGTTTTGAGAAGACGGGATAACCCGAGGAAATATAATCTCATGTTAGAGAGATAAATCTGGATATATAAAACATTAATGCCACATCACTGTAAGTAACATTAGTGAATCACGTAAGTACGATCTATTATATTAATGTAGCTGTATTTTTCGTAATAATGGTTTATGAAACAAAAATCTTGAACAATAATAAAGATTATAATGGGACATTTTTAATACCATTTTAAAATTAACATTTCAATAACTTCAGTAGGTATATTTTTTAGAATATTTTTGGCTGCAATAACATCGTAGTACAGTATAATACTACATATATCATTATATCAAATTGTATTATACTTTCAAAAATGCAATCGCTTTAAACCCTTGTCTTATTTATAAGGAACATTTGTGTTCACAGAAGTGATCTCTGTTCGTCATCCGACATTTCGTACAGCAATATAAGGATTGCCAACTTACAAATAATACTCGTGCGTTGTTGCCAAGTGACATTTATTTATGTATATTGGGCAAAAAATAATAATTTAAATATGGAAATGTATAATTAATTATAAGTATTACGTAATTTCAAGTCATAAAGAATATTTTTCTTTGCATTAGTATAGGTCCCCCCGCGTCCCGCTTCACCCCCCCCCCCCAACTACACTCGATCCTTCTTAAAAGGCATACTAGTCCTTTATTCGTTTTTAACAATACTATTAACACAATTTTCAATAAGAATTCTAGGTCAACTCCTCGATATAATAAGCGGTATCAGCGATGACAACATTGCTGGTTCTCTGCGCAAAATTCGATTCGATATCGCAATTCCGTTTTGAATTAATTCTTCTACGTAAGATTCCCCCACCTCAGTGTCTTTCAGCCACCATGCCTCTTCTACTTTAAAACGTTTCCTTCTACATCTTCAAGCATAGTTGCTGATGATCCAAATCAATCATATTCAGTTCAAATTGGTCAAAAAACTATCGAGCAGGTTATAAGGTCTGGAATTGTTATTGTGGCTTGTCAAGTAAGAAAAAAAAATGTATACTTTAAAGAAGTTTCAGTAAACATTTACTTATTTTACTTTTTTCCTACACACTGCTTGCAAAAATTAACAAAAAAATACGTAATTGTATTTGCAATTACAATTGAAAAAACTTTAAAATAAAAAATTAATCAATGCACCCTTCCATTAAAAAAGATAAGGGTTGCTGCAATCTCCACATAATTAAAAAAATTAACAAACCTCTTTGTAATAATGCCCCATTGAAAATAAAAATTGAAGTGTTTCAGGAATTTTGCGACAAACTTTTGTTTACTAAGTTACAGAATCTGTTCCAGTTAAACTTGCCACTCTGTATTTCATCTTTGTTGATCGCTTTCGATTTCATGGTAGGTATAGTATCTTAGCTTGTCATTTATTTTGAAACCCATCTACATCACCATCGGTTGGTGGCCGAGAGACTCGAGGCGTCAATACTTAAATCGATGAATGCCACTGTCTAGGCCAGGAAATATAGAGTTGGACGCGACTTTTTGTTTCGGCAAGCTGAATTTATCACTATAGATGCTAAATATTATGTACAATAACATATTAGTATCCACAGTAATAAAAATGGGGGGAGAATTGTTTACAGTGTGGTTAATTGTATAATTTTTACGTAAATTCACGTTTTTCGCTTATAACTTTTTCCGTTCATTTCCACGAGAAAACAGTAAAGTACTTCTTTTTTTGGTCTTCAAAAGACCTACAAAACTAGCCCTCGAGCGTCAAAAAATATTGATTAGATCAAAAGTTATAAACAGATAAACATTTATAAACTGCGTTATTATTACCAGAACGTTTTGGCATCGCATCCTCTCATTCCTTATCACTGTCTAATAACTCACACGAAATCTGGAATCGGTAAGTTGAATAGTTTACAAGTTATGGCCTTATAAACAAATTGACTAATTATTAGTCTGGACGATCCCGAGGATCTTCCACAATCGCACTGATTTTTTCATGGTAGATTTCATAATAATACCAGAGAACACTGTACCAACGAGAAGCGACAGAATCGGCGGTTCCTTTGATGTTTTGTGGTCACGCTAGAGTCGACCGATTTGACAGAAACACAATCGTTTACACTGAAAGAAGTTACAACGAACTGCATCAGTATCAAACATTATTCATATAATACAAGGATAACTGTGGTAAAATGTAGACAAATTAGGTATAATATATAAAAAAATAGAACAAGATGTTTTACAACTAATATTTTTATTAAACAGATATAATATTTTTCTGCAATATTTGAAATAGTTTTTTAAAAATAGGTACCTGACAATGCAATAACTTCTTTGGGACAATCCTTCACAATTTTTGCCTCTAGCTCTTCTTGCCCATTTCTAAGTTGAGGAAACTGTATAGGTATTCCGTTTGGCAATAAGGTTATTCTTACATTCCCTTTACCAATATATTTGGTTTCGAAATGGTGTTCACAAAGCCTATAATTCTTATATACATTCACAATCCTAGGCAATAAATCGAGTCTATTGCAAGTTTCTATCCACACTCGAGCACTGCAAACAAAAATAAAAATTCTCCTAAAGATATTCTCTATACTTATGCAATACCATATTACAAGAAAACATACCACATTATTTTAAAAATCAAAATACTTTTTTCTGATTTACAGTTTATAGGTAGGTACTTAAAATAATAATAATAATAATTACCTTTCTAATCCTTATGTAATCTCAAAAGGGTTAATCCTTCACCAGTTTTGGATGAACAATCGCGAAAAGCACAATAATAACCATGCATTTTATTGATTTCAAGTTGATTCTAATTGTAGATGGAAACGAAATACAATACAAATAAATCCACTATCAATTAACATTATACAACACAACTGTCCACCGCCAAAAAACTATTACTCGTTTCTTCTATTTATATTTGACGGCTCTGACAGCCACTGACAACTGACAACAACACAACCCAACTCGCGCATGCGCATACGAAAACTGTTAACGCAGAAAGCCTTGCTGTCGCTTCTCGTTGATATAGTGTTCTCTGATAATACATTGAAATGTATCATTTTTTTTTAACCTGGAATTTTTTTTATTTTTTAGCCTTAGTTGCAAAATGAAATATACGACGCACGAGCGTGATATAGTTACATATTCGGAAAGCTTATGAAAAGAGCTTTAAGTTAAAAAAAATCGTCAAGATTCGTTGAAAAACAACGGAGTTATAGACTGACAAATATATTATTTTCAAGCGAATTTCTCTTATTTAACCGCAGGACTATGAATATTATCATTTTCTTCGGACTCGCTGTTGTTCGCTTCCCCCACCCTTCCGCCGCACCACGGCTCGCCGAAAATCAAGCTTCCACTGACTTTTTACAATATTTCTTATGCACTTAACTTACTTCCACAAATAAAATATTTTTACCTGGGAAAGTACACGGGTTGCCGATTATGACAGTATTTTTTTTGCCGCTACCAACCTAATTTGTTTAACAATAGGCCGACAACTTGGACAGTCTGTAACTCCGTTGTTTTTCAACAATTCTTGACGATTTTTTTTAGCTTAAAGACATAATTAGTTAATTTGTTTATAAGGCCATAACTTGTAAATTCTGCAACTTACTTATTCCAGATTTCATGTGAGTTATTAGACAGTGATACTGATAAGGAATGAGAGGATGCGATGCCAAAATGTTCTGGTAATAATAACGCAGTTTATAAATGTTTAATTCAAAAGTCATAAATAAACTTCTTCTGTTTATAACTTTTGATATAAGTAATTAATATTTTTTGACGCCAGTTTTGTTGATCTTTTGAAGACAAAAAAAAAGTGCTTTACTGTTTTCTCGTGGAAATGAACGGAAAAAAGTTATAAGCGAAAAACGTGAATTTACGCAAAAATTATACAATTAACCACCCTGTAAACAATCTTTCCCCCCATTTTTATTACTGTGGAAACTAATATGTTATTGTACATAATATTTAGCATCTACAGGGTGGTCCGAATTTTATGCAAGAAACTTCGAGGGCAGATAGATCTCTTTAAAATAATACGTGTTTGCCTTATAAACATAGGTCTGGAACGGCACCGTTTTAGAGATACAGGGTGTTGAAGTTGTCAAAAAAAATTGATTTTTTGTTTATATCAGGAATCTATTAACCGATCTCAATAAAATTTGGTACATATAGTATGATAACAGGTTTTATATTCCCTGAAATATGAGCTTTAAAGGTTCAACTAAACTAAAGGTACAACTGAACAGGGGTCACTCGCTTTTTACAAAAAAATCTACGCCACTGCGTTTTTTATATGTCATTGTAACTGATTTATATTCTAATGCACAAAATACGTAAAAAAAGGTAACTTTAATTTTTCATTAAGATTCGCCGTTCTCAAGTTATTCATACCAATACAATCCCCTTGTGGCCGACACTTCTGACGGTAATATTACAAGAATATATTTTGTTTATGTTTAAAAGTAAGTGCAATTTGTAAGCACATCAACAAAATTATTTACACTTCTTTCTACACCACGTGTGAGGTAGTGTGCGATATAAACAAAAAATCAATTTTTTTTAAAACCTCAACTCCCTGTATCTCTAAAACGGGGCCATTCCAGACCCATGTTTATAAGACAAACACGTATTATTTTAAAGATATCTATCTACCCTCGAAGTTTCCTGGATAAAACTCAGACCACCCTGTATAGTGATAAATTCAGCTTACCGAAACAAAAAGTCGCGAAATGGTCATTTTCCAGCTTATTTTCCTGGCCTATGTCGCAGGTTCTCTTCCCGCGGCCGTAAGACCGTAGATCAGCGATATTCGTAGAGAGGAATTAGTCACCCTCTTTGCGGAAGAATGTTGGCTTGGATCAATGTGAGAGATTGATACCGGTCGGTGTTTAATCATCTCCCTAATTAATGAGGTTTTGCAAGTTTCCCTCATTCCTGTACTTAATGGTGGTTAGGGCTTACCAACGTAAGTCGTTCCTGGGCGCACATGCGGCCTACTGAATAATACCGCCCCCTTTCCCGCACAAGACTCTGACTTCTGGGCTAATCCTTGCGATTAGAATCAGTGGTAGAGATATTATTATTATAATTATTATTGTTATTGTTATTGTTATTGTTATTGTTATTGTTATTGTTATTGTTATTGTTATTGTTATTGTTATTGTTATTNTGATTTGTTAAGATTACCGCTTTCTGATTTATTTTATATGACAAATATTAACGACAAAGTTAGTCATTTGACGTTGCATCTCTCAAACCTTTATAATAAGCATGTACCTTTGAGAACGGTACGAATAACAAAAAAGAAGGCCCCTTGGTTAACAGATAATATCAAACTGTTAATGAGACAAAGAGATAAGGCAAGGTCTGAATATAAAAGAAACTCTTCTCCTGCTAAATGGAACTATTTTAAACAGTTACGGAATGCAGTTAATCATGCTCAAATTGTGGAAAAACGGTCTTATTTTAATTATATTTCAACTAATAAAAATTCTAAAAATCTGTGGGGGGAGCTTAAATCATTAAACATTGTTTCTAATAGCTCTAATTCGCCATTGCCTGCTAATTTATCGAATCCAGATGCTATTAATAATTATTTCATAGACAATATTCCAGATAATATAGGTGACAACTCTAGCATCTTTGATTATTATGATTTCAATAAAGTTCTTAACTCAAGTTTTAAATTTAAACTCGTCTCAATAGATACCGTGCGAAATGTCCTCCAGATTATAAAAAATTCATCGGCTGGTGCTGATTTGCTTAGTATATTTTTTATAAAGCTATGCTGTCCCTATATTTTATATTATGTTGTTCATATAATTAACAGTATTTTTATTGACTGTCAATTTCCTTCTTCCTGGAAAATTGCTCTAGTGACGCCAATCCCTAAGAAAGGTGATCCTAAGACTTTTTCTGATTTACGCCCTATCAGTATTTTACCAGGATTGTCGAAAATTGCGGAAAAGATAATTGAAATTCAAATTCGTGAGTACTTAGAAAATTATAGTATTTTACCTGTTTTTCAGTCTGGTTTTCGTCCTGGGCACAGTTGCTCTACAGCTCTAATGCACATTATTGATGATATTGTGGACGCTACTGACTCGGGAAAATGTACGCTCCTAATTTTACTTGACTACAGCAAGGCATTCGACACCATAAATCACGATGTTTTAATTGCTATTTTAAAATCATGTGGTTTTGAACATGACAGCATTAAGTTGCTATATTCATACCTTAATAACAGGACACAGTTTGTAAGAGTCTCTGAAAACCTATCTCAATCTAGATCTATCTGCAAAGGAGTCCCCCAGGGTTCCATATTAGGTCCTTTGTTATTTACAATTTATACATCACAATTTATAAAATTTGTTAAATATTGCTCCATTCACATGTATGCTGATGACACTCAATTATATTACTCGTTTTATCCTAAAGATTATCAATCAGCTATGCATAAGGTAAATGATGATTTAAATACAATATTTGATATTTCCTTACAGCATTCTCTTAGTATAAATCCTTCTAAAACAGCCTTAATTTTATTCGGCAAGAAGACTAAAGCTTTTGATATCTCTAAATTAATTAAGATTAATATAAATGGGCATTTGCTAGAATTTTCTAAGAGTGCAAAAAATTTAGGTTTAATCTTAGATTCCAACTTAAGATTCAGGGAGCAAGTTAAAAAAATGGCCCAACGAGCATACCTAGGATTGCGGCTTCTGTATCCCCATCGTAAATATCTAAACATAAATACTAAGAGAATGCTTTGTGAGACATTGATATTATCCCAGTTTTCATTTTGTGCCCCTGTATATGGACCTTGCCTAGATCTTGACAGCAGCAACCTCATCCAACGCGTTCAAAATGCGTGTATACGTTTTATTTTTGGTATTCGTAAATTTGATCATGTATCGCATAAGTTGCATGAACTTGGCTGGTTGGATATGTTCAAACGGAGAAAACTTTACTCACTTTGTTTCTTTCATAAACTTTTACTTACTAAGACTCCACCTTATCTATATAACAAAATTGTATTTCGCAGTGATGTGCATAATATTAATATTAGATCCAAAGGTTTACTCAGCCCTCCTCAACATAAAACGTCTTTTTTTGAGAGAGGTTTTAAATACAATATATACCGGTTGTACAACAGCGTCACACTCGGTGCAGGATATATTAGTTGTGCAAAGTTCAAAAAATTTGTTAGGACAATGTTATTTTCTTAGGTATGTTACTTATTTAACGCTACTATTGTTATTATTGTTGTAATTTATATGTTTACTGTGATGTAATACTGACTACGGTGCTTTATATATTAGATATGTGGTATTCAAGGGTTAAGTGGTAGAGCACAATTATTGTGAACTTCCCCTTGAGATTTCCAAAACTATGGATAACCTTTTTATTTTTGTGCTGAATGACTTTTATTTTTCTTTTGGAAATAAAGACATTATTAATATTATTATTAATATTATTATTAATATTATTATTATTGTTATTATTATACCGTTAATTTACAATACAAAAAACACTCTTCATACATACTTTTAATCGTTAGTGCAATATAGAATTATGTACTTCTAACACATCTCGCTTAAGTAACTATTTGTTATCTTTTATTTTAGTAACAAAAGATGGGAATAAAATTTTTAATTTTTGTTTCCCTCTTAATATTTGGGAATGTTTCGTCATCTTCAAGAGAAAATAGCTTTGTAGTGTCATCAGAGAACACAAGAACTGTAAGAATGGTGAGTTTTGAATAAAAAATAGTATTAAAAAAATAGTATAAAACACATTGAAGGCTGGTAACACACTTCAAAAATAAAATATTTCTGTTAATGTACCCTTGAAATGCTTGGTAAGGGAGCTACAGACTTTTAAATTGTACAAAAATTACTTTTTATGTCTTGTATAACAGCTAATAATGATAATGAACAAGTTATGAATTTCATTTCAAGAGTAAGTTTGTTGTACTATATTTTTGACATTATAATGTTGATAAATTTGTTATCATTCAGGTTAATGAATATGATTTGCCGGAAGTATTTGAAATGGATATAAACTCTAAAATTGCCAATAATTTTGCAACAACTTTGGTAACGACTAAAGTAAGAAGTAGAGGGATAGCTGCCAAGGAAACAACTTTCACTGTAGTGTTGCCAGAAACAGCATTTATTTCTGAATTCATCATGGAAGTTGGAACAAAACGTTACAGAGCCTTCGTGAAAGAAACGGAAGAGGCCAAAAACATTTACGATACAGTAAGTTTCTGTTTCTTTAAATACAAGGTGATAGACGGGAAGTATGCACTTGTAATATTTGGAAAGCAAGTGAAAAACGTATTTGTAAGAAAATATGTAACTAAGAAACGTTTATTTAGAATTTTCTCTTTACTGAATTCTTTCGCTTTGAAGATATGGGGACATTTAAAAAAAATCATATAAATATATCACCACGGTCAGCATCCGGTGGCAAGCATTTCTCGGCCAGACTTCCTATTCTGGTCCGGGTTCGATCCCGGCGTCGGCACTGGCAATGTCGATGGGTAATGGGTGTCTGTCTGCGTTTTTTCAAGTGTAGCGCCCTTCCGCACAGCCTTTGGCTTTGGATTTGGGTGTTGTCTCATTTTTGTGGTGTGTTTTATGTTTTTATATGTTTCAAAATCTTTTGACTAAGATACAATACGTTGAAAATTTATGTAACCTGATGCGTTATTTCTTTAATTATCTATCTACCGTTATGACCAGTATCAACGAGTCTGGATTTCAAAAGAGTTTACTATTTAATTCTCGAAAGGGAGTTTGTAATTACCATTATACTTTAATTAATATGTGGGAACTTAGAAATATTGTACGTTCAGAGAATGAAAACCAGACACTTGCCGTATATCTCTCATGTACAAGGTAATCCATTAGTTGGTTGTATAGGATGACACTTAAGTTGGCAGAACAAGAAAACACCAAAACTTTCCATGAAGGGTTTTAATAACAATAAAAACAAAACAAACAAAACAACGGGAACACAACAAACTCGAACAGATATTATTGGTTCATTTAAACGCGACAGCGTACCGAGATTCAGGGAATGTGAGATCCATAGCAAAATTTGCAAAGACTTTATCCATTATTAAATTAATCCGAGACTCCGAAACTAAAACTAAGTTGACTGCTCAATGTGGAACCCAAGGAAAAAACTGCCCTTTTTTCGGAGATCTCTCCTGAATTCGACACCTCGCTTCGACACGCCCATTTCTTGGGTCCAGACGTTTCTGTTCTTACCTTACTGGCGGGAACCCTGAATATCGGGACGCTTTGGCATAACTATGCCTTGTTAATAGTTATCTAATGGACTGAATTTACATTTATATATGTCGGAGATGTCTTTCTCACAGGCCGAGTCTTTCAGACTTTGGAAATTCCAGAATTCTTTACTCAGGGAATACCCTTTTATAAACTGCATCTAGACCATAAAACTTAGAAATAGTTATTTAGCTTGGGTTTGGAGAGAGTTACTCAACGTAGCCGCGGTCAAAGGATAGATAGCATTTACCTTAAAATCACTATAAGGCAATCCCTAGGATATAACGAATTTGATTGGTTCATTTAAGAATAATTTTGACCTGACGAGTGAAGAGAAGTACAGAGAGTTATACTGAAAGCAGTTCTACTTGAGCATTGAAGACGTGAGTACACTGCTATTTTGTTGACCGTGGATTCGTTATCGGGTTGTCGTCATAAAACAACTCGAGTACTTTATTTGTAACGTTTTATTTTAAATCATTTTCATTTACAGTATTACTTATTATTTCGTGAAGATTAGTGATACGAGTAGTGATATTAACGCCCAAGTTAGCCCTACGACTCCGACATATAAATAATTCTGTGACTAACTGGACTTACAAGTAACCCTAGCCTTCCTCTAGTGACTTCGTGTAGCAATACGGGACGGATTAGTCAATCTCATTTAATCTATTCTTATAGCTTGGAAAATCCGCCAAAAAACCAGATATTTGATCTGTTATTATTTTTCTCACAACTTCTAACAACTTATTATTGGAATTCCTACGTTCTTTGGAATGCATTTCGCACGTTGTTTGAAATATCGATTTTTCTCTTCATACCAGATGTTCAGCACATGGCCCCAACAGTCTAAGAGAACTTGTTAAAAATTGTGTTTACTGAAATATTTTATTTTTTGGCCGATCCGTTCCGAGAACTAATAAATACATTACCACGCGTCCCGGCTTTTGTTACATTTAAATGTTTTCCGATATTGAAGACCTTCAAAATAAAATATGGGGTCGGATTATGGGGTAAAAAATTTAGATGGTAAAAAAAACTTATGAAAATGTTTCCTGTATTGAACAACATTTTGAATATTGCGCAATTTTATTAGAACAGCACCTTTCCGGATTGAGAAAGTCATAGTTAATATGTATTTACATTAGGAAATTTCTTCATCAATTGCTCAATGCAAGATTGCAAAGAGTATGTCCATGACCCATCTTTACACATCGAAAATGAAACATATTGTTCTAGAGTAAAATGCGTAATACGTTCTGAAATAAAAATATTATTAACCTCAAAATTTTGTTTCTGTTACAGCTTACCAGTAATTGGACGAAGTGTTAAAAGAGTTTATCTGCGAAATATGAACGACTTAAATGTAGCAAATAGGAAACAACAAAACGTTAGCAGAAATTGAATAGGAACAATAACAGACACGGACAACGGACGCTATTGAAAAATGCACAAATGTCAATTTAGTGTCATCGGACATAATTATTCGTTTGCAATAAACAGTAACAAACTATTGCGTCTACAATCGAGATCCGATAGCTGATTGGTTGAACGAAACGTCGTGAAAAATGACACCAGTCAGGAGCCGGTAAAACTAAATTTTGCGTTTTAACGTACCTAGTTTGATCTTATGGTTTTAGTAATTTTTAATTTTAACAGAATTTAATTGGCAACGCGAAGGAAATATAATTCTGTTTCAAACAAAATTACTAGTCACATAAATCATTTATGAAGGCTCTGTTCAATATGTCCACCTTGTCTCTCTACACATAACTGGCATCTACGGAACCAGTTTTCATGTATCTTTTAAAATATTCCGGGTTGGCGGATAGTATTTGCCCCTTCAAATATTTTGCGCCGTAAATAGTTCTCGTCAATGATATCGGTTGCATAAACTAAACTTTTTAAATGTTCCCAGAAGAAAAAAATCAATGGGGTGCACATCAAGTGTGCGGGCAGGCCAGTTGTGGGGACCATTACTTCCTATCCACTGTCTGTTCGTTGGATACTGTGTGTCAACTAAATAAGCAGACTATTATCAATTTTCCAGGCCGTTGCCAGTGGGCGAACTGCAGCTCATGTGTCTATAAGCGCCAGAGACTCCAATAAATTCACCGTTTCTTTAAATGTGGAACCTCATTTGAGAGTTATGTTCCTCCTGACTTACGAAGAATACCTTCAGCGTAAAAATGGACAGTACGAGTTAGTTCTGAACATTCATCCTGGACAAGTTGTTCAAAATTTGCGTGTAAAGGTGATATACTGATATCTTGAAGACGTACTACTTATAATAGCTATTTCCAGGTTACGATTAAGGAAAACAGACCGCTAAGATTTGTCAAGACTCCATCCATTAGGTCCGGAAACGAGATAGGTAAAGAAGAAGATAGACTAAATCCATCTGCTGATATTCGATTATTAAATTCGACAATGGCTGTTGTCACGTTTAATCCCAATTCTGAAAAGCAGAAACAGTTTGCCCGTTATCTAGGAACGAAACAAACAAATGGATTGTCTGGACAATTTGTAGTCCAGTATGATGTTGAGAGAGATTCTGCTGGAGGGGAGGTAAAGGCATATTGCTCAATTATTATTACAAATTAATAATAATATTCGCTGACTTTTAGTACTTTTAGAGAAGATATGAAAGAAAGAAAAATACTATTTTAAATTTTCTTTCTATTTAAAACGCGCAATTTATCAAAATTTGCCGGGTGTAACAGTGGCGTTGCGACAAACTCTCAGACAAACGGAAAAAAATAAATGACATTCTTTTTTAAAATCGTGAAAGATATAGACTTCAATTTTGGTACAGTGCAGTACCTTCCTAGTAGTTAAAGTAAAATTTTAACAAAAACTGACCAAAGTTGGAAGGGTTTGAACCACAATTTCTTATGATGCGGCCGGAAAATTTAAAAAATATATTAATATTTGAAATAAATTTGGAACAGTCAATGTTAGGTTCTTAAAATTTGGCATTGTTAATGGCAAAATATATTGTTAAAAAACATAGCAAAGTTTCAAAAAAATTAGCCGAAAGCCACTTTTTATAAGGATTCTGCGGGGTCCTCTGAAGTCTACACCTATAATAGTTCTTGAACAATTGAATAAAAACTGTGCCTTCCACTTCCAATTTTTGATGGATCATAGAACTTTTAGGAACTGTTTTAGGAAAAAATCTTACCCTTGGCTTTTTGTTTGTTTTGATGAGAGAAATCAGCCCTGTAAGATTGTCGTATCGTATCTGTTACACGTTGTATTTCTATTTCCTAAGTTAAGAGTTGGATGAGGTGAACGTTTCGATATACATACCAGAGAACAGAACGTTATATGTATCTATTTATTTATGAATGCTGCATCCAATCATTTCTAATAATATAACATTTTTTTATTTTTAGATATTCTTGCAAGACGGTTATTTTATCCATTTCTTTGCACCAACTGATTTGCTCCCATTGTCAAAACATGTAGTCTTTGTCCTGGATACCAGTACAAGTATGCGCGGAAAAAAATTAAATCAGCTGAAGAATGCAATGAAGGGCATATTAAAGCAAATTAGAAATGGAGATAAAGTGACCATTATAGAATTTGAAACAAATGTTAAAGTGTGGAATGTCTTTTCCAGAACGGCGACGATTATTGACAGAAACATTAATTACTCTGATCCATTCTATAAATTAAGTGTATGTACAAACATCCTTTTAAAAACGAAAATAATGACATTTGATGGTTAAAAATTTACAACTGGTTGCCATATAATCGGTTTAGACTTCTTAACTACACGAAGGGGAAAATGTTCATATTAATGTTCATGCAGGTAAAGTTCATAATATTTTGTAGTAAGCACTTTGGTTTTGTAGTAGATTCCAATTTGCAAGCATGACGTTAACTACAGTTTAGGTAAATAATGTAGTATGTAGCAAAATAATCATTGTACATCAACAATTGTCACTCTACTTTTAGAGCAAATATTACAAATGTTCTGTGCAATTTCTAAGGTCCATTTGTACCAAATACGCGTTCAGTCACGTTTAAGTAAACGTACATTCAGTACTGAATTTGGTTTAGTATAAAATACATTATACTATCGTTTCATTTTATTTTTATTTGTGCAGTTAAGCAGACGGTAATCAATCAATATTTATTACAGAAATTTCAAAAATGAAGAGGAAGGTGATATTGTTTCTTGTATCCTAACCTCATTTTTATGGTAAAATACATACAGTATGATGGAAATGTTGGAATAGATTAATTATTTAAAAAAAAAGCTTTTGGAAAAAATCCTAAAACACGTCAATTTTAAGTTTTGAAAGGCCACCAGTGTTGACGTTATGACGTAATCGACGATTTGAAAGATCTCCTAATCCTCTATCCAACGGTATAATTAGTTGACTATTTATTTCCTCTATTTCCTTTCGCACTTTTCCTCGGTTCTCTCTCTATGGATCGTTCGGTGTAAATTTTATTACTTTTAACTATGGTGTGTACACCCCTTGTAATTTAATTTTTCGGAACGGTCTTCTATTCCTCGGACTGGACTCTAAACGATGACGTTAGTTAATAATTTATATAGTTGGTTTTAATCTCGGGCGCCAGTTTCCCTAAATTTGACGTGGGGGAAACTCCACTATCCCTTACCCTCGGTTTAGAGTAAAGTGCACAGGTAGCTACAGTGAAGAAAATAAATTCCAGGGGTCAAATTAATTTCTTTTAGGAGAAAACGGCAGAGAGTACGGCAGAGAGTAGTTTTCTCAGTGTAGTTTTATTTTAGATATGAATTTTAACGGGAGCTCTACAAAACGATATCAGCGTTTTTGCTGTTCCGGAATGTTATCGATTTACCTCGACGGTGAAAGAAATAAACCTATTAAGTTTTACTAGATTTATTCACACAGGGAAAATATTAATACTTATTACAAATACATATAGTGTCAATTTTTATTCCTACCCACTACTAAACGACTGAAATTATTTACAAGTTTATTAACAATAATTATATACAAAATCAGTGTGAAAGAGACAAAATTAAAAAGTTGTGACTCTGGGTTTTTTACCATTTTACTTATCACCTTAGAAAAGAAATAAATATTTGCAAACGGGATCGAAATAAAATATTTATTACTCTACAATCGTAGACGGTTTTTACGTACAAAGGAAAAGGTGATTTTAAACGGTCTGACTAAAATATTTATAGACGTTTTTTACTGGTCCCCGCTGATTCTGAAAATAAACCAAAATTTATTCGGAATTATTTCGGACTTATTTTAAACAGGCGGGCGGTCAAATATCGGTATCATGGCCTAGCAAACAATGCAAAAGTAGTAAGCGGAATGCGGTAAGCGGTAAGCGATAGCAATAACCAGCGAAGAAAGCCCAAGCGGTGCAAGGCGGAAAGATAGGATGGTGAAACGGGTTCCGAAGTATCTCGCCTTACAATTCGTACTAGCCTTCAAGCTTTATACGTCCTGGTGGCCGATGGTGTCGGACTCTCTGTATACAACGCTTCTCGGTCTGATGTACACACGCCGACCAGGGAGAAGCGTACGTATACTATATGGAACGACCCGGAGATTGGGTGGGCACGCCGAACCTCTAGGTCTTGGTTCACATATCCCCTATTACCCAGCGTACATCAAGGTGCGGGACACCAAGCAACGCTGTAGTAAATACGACGGCTTCTTCAGGATTGGGTTTACACTCCGAATCCAACGATTGCACTGTCGTGTGGGTTGAGACGGACGGTGGAATTTGTGTGTGGGTTACCAAGAATATTCTTCTCGGGCCCACAGTAATTCCACACTTAAAGTGTACAAATCTTTTCGGACTTGTACCCGGTTGGAACGGATAATAATAAGGAAAATAATTCTTACTAGGTTCACTGGTTCTTCGGTGGAGAGTACTTGCTGGCGGTGGACGTCTGTTCGGTATTGAGTTCTGGATACGAACTGCCGATTTCGACGAATGTCGAGGACTCTTGTTGCCCAAATCCCCACCGGATTGACACCAGTCGTGGTGGGACCTCCACGTGGATATTTGATATATATGTAAAAAAATCAATAATTCTCGCCGCCGGGGTAAAATAATCCGAAATAAAAAGAAATATTTTTAAATTCAGACTTAATAAAAATCAAAAATAAAACAGGTTCATTACAACTTAAGTAGAATGAAATTACAATAACTGTTCAAACTGATTGCAATGATGCAATGAGAAAGTTGGGCAGTAAATTTTTCTCTAACGTTTTCTAGAACTTTAGAGGTTATTTGTGCAGTCTCCGTTCTGATGCGATCTTTTAACTAATTGAACTCATTGAACTATTGCTTAACGACCGCTAATGGAAATAAAACATCGTAGAGTTTTCTACTATCTTTATTGATTCGGAAAGAATACATTGATAAAAATACTACATTCTAAATCACTCTGTTGTCACATTTACAAATATTTGTTTAGTTCAATTTGACAGGAGTGAAATACTCATAAAACATTTAAATCAGTTAACAAAGCTTACAAAAACCGAACGAATCGAAATTTTTTCATGATTGGTTGTGGAGATAAAGTGAGGACATAAGTTTGTAATTTATTTAATGTTAAATACCCCAATTAAGAACCCGTTTCTCAGTCAGTAATAAGTAAAATTGAGAAAAAGTTTCGAGAGATCTCCCCAAAAGTGGAAGAAAATCAATTCCTGAGGGCAAAAAATTTGACGTAATACTTGCGTTTCAAGAAATCCTCATACTAGCTCGAGAAAAGTCGCACTGGATAATAATTTACACCAATCAACTGTTGTAATACTAAAAAAGGAAAAGTGGCATCCGTACAAAGTACCTACATCTGGTCCAAGAGCTGTTAGATGATTTTGATAGAAGAATTAAATTCTGTGAAAGCTTATGGAACGATTTATTATTTCATAAAAAAGGTACTTTTTGAGTTGGAGCTATTTTTATGCTCAACGGCAACGTATATCAGTTATTTTCAAATAGAAATAATTTGTGATTTGAGAGGGGGCGCCCTTACACTACAATTAGACTTCTTTTTATGGGGATATTTGAAGACCAAAAGTTGTCAAAGTCGTCCAAATAGTCTATCATTGCATCATTGTTGAAGGTCATCATTTTGAACATTTATTGTAATTTCATTCTACTTATGTGAATACATAATTTTGGTTGACCCTGAACAATAAATTTATGCTGTCTTTATAATGGCTGTTTTACTAGAACTTTGCAGCTATTTTTATCGGATTGATTACACAGCCCCACAAAAAAAGAAGAAGTGGTCTGTTCCAAAGACTAGATGTATGTATTTTGACTGAATCCGAATCCTGCGTCAATATTGCTCTATCACTCTCAAAAGAACGAAGTTTTCTTTGTCAGCTGAAATACCAAAGAATACAGTCTTCCACTCGAGATAGTTGAGTTAGCGTGGTCTTACGTCACCCTACAAGGATAAGTACCACATAGTGGGACGATTTTTTTGGTACTTAGTTTAATCAGTAAATACTAGTGTAAATCATAACACAAAAATGGATATATGATAAAGAATTATTTTTTTTTATTCTTTCTGTGGGCAATATACAACTTTTTAAACAAAACTATCCTTAACTATTTTAAATCCCTTTTTGGAAAAAAACCTAACGGTGACTTTTATTCATAACACCAGTACACAAAATAAAAAAAGTGGTCTGTAACTTTGATTTGACCCAATAGGATATATGTATTTTGGCGTGCTCGAATCTGAAGTCCGTTCAGCAAAAAATAGTGAAAAAGCGTCGAAAATGACGTTAGTGAACGCGAAAAAATTCGAAAAAATTTGTTCTGAATTTGATCAAGTAGGTTTCTTATAATTTTGATGTATTGAATCCAAATCTGATGTCTTTCAGCTACTTCCGCCCAAATTTTGCAAATATCGCAAAATAATAGCGAAAAATCACCAAAAATAGCGAAAAAACGCCAAAAATCACGTTAGTGAGCCCAAAATGTTCTTGAAATTACTTCGTCACATTTTCCATAAATAACAAACAATTTAAAATAATCCTCATTAGTAGGTATACGTAATTTAAACGATCCTTAGGCATTTTTATTTAAATTTTCGCCAAAAACTGTTACAGACACAATAATAATTTGACAATTAACTTGACAAATTTCAAGTTATTTTAATTGTTTTTGGAGTCTTTCTGATCATGGCCAATTTGATAACAGGTCTGATACGAGAAAAACTGTCAAAAAAATAGAAAAATTCAAATACCTCTAAAAGTAGGGCAACCCTAACAATACTTATAAGGTTAGAAAGGAAATTTCAATCTGCATACGAGAAAGTAAAAAAATACAGGGTGTTCCATTAAAATTAATATCTCAAAGTCCATTGCTCCTAGATATAGGGAATATTTAATAAAATGACACTCAAATTCCACGTAGAATCCGAAAATGCAATAATATATAGGGTGTCCCATTTAGTAGCAGTTTAGTATAGTTAGTACCTTTATCTCTTGCTAGTTTCCTATTTAGAAATCTACTTTATTTAAGATTATTAGTTGTTGTAATAATTGTTTACTCTTGTAATATAATTTTTCTGTTTTTTTGCTTCCATTTACAAGAAAGATTAGAATTTAGCTATATTAGGTATACACTGATTTTTCTTTTATATTTCATGTATCATAGTATATTTGACAATAGAATTCAGTGATTTTAAATCTTTTAAAAATTGTGATTGTAATATTAAAGAGAATCACTTATTTATAGGTTAGTTACGCTTTTTATTATGATAACTTTCTAACCCACTTCCGGTACCACTTTTGTTAGTCGGACCTACGTTTATTGTTATGTTGAAAGTAAGTAACGAATGTTACATTACTGTTTTGCTAAAATCATAAATTTGTCGTAATATACTGTTAAATCTATGACTAAAATAGAAGCATTTATATTTATGGGTTGTCTTTTCACTGAACTCTTTGAATATTTATAATGGCAGTTTAAGAAACACTCTACCTGATCAACATTTGAACTTCTGAACTTGAATACAGCATAAAGATTTTAATCCACAGTCAGCACTGAACCTTCGTTCAAGGATATGGTACAATTGGCGCTTAAAACCTTTCAAGTGTTACTGAAATTTTGTAGCAATGAATCTCATTGTTATATGTAACAGTCCTAGAACGTAAAATGCAACATTTTCAATATGTAATATCAATTTATTTAGTTACTATAATGATTATTAATCCAGTAAGCAAAGTTTTTTTCTCACCGGTTCTATATGTTTTTTGGGGTGCTGAATCCGAATCTGAGGTTTGCCACCTCGCCAGGCGTCGGCTTCACAAGGAAAACTGCAAAAAATCTCATATTTTCGGCACTTTTTTCAGTTTTTTAACTATAACTCGAAAACTAAGCGTTTTTTGATTATATCTATACCAACTAAACTAAACAAAATTTCCTACAAATACCTATAATAACTCTAAAGTCTTTAGAGGGTGTTGAAAAAATGGCATTTCTTGATTTTCCGCTAAAAAAGTTGAAAACGTTATTCCAACTACGCGCTACCTACTATCCACTTCATACACCTCTAAAATCAATTATTTTATGATTACCTGGTATGTCCAGGTTACATTTAAGGAATTGTCAAAACGTTAGTGAGATCCTTATATGGTCAACGGGCCTCCTAGTTCAAACAAAATCGTACTACTCTTAATTCAAGGGGAAGATAGAAGATTTTGAAAGGAAACATATTTGGAACAAATTTGTATTTACACGAAAAAAAGCAAAAACACCATTATTTAATAATTTTCATATTCATTCGTCATCCTCATCTGCAGAATTATCACCTGAAACAACGAGAATGGATACTTTAGATAACTATAATAGAATCCATGTCGTTCATGTTCATTATGGACAAAATTTATTATGTCTTTGCACAATAGAGTTTAATATTATGTAAAAATATAAGATGAAGAAGAAGACAATACCTGTATAAGGCTCAGGATTGCGTTCGCAGATGTTCCCTTTAGATGGTCCAGGCTGTCGTAATGTTTTCGTTTTAGTCCTGTCCAATGCTCGAACTCTTGAAGGATGGGCGCCGGTCTTTCCAATGGAAAAAAATATTATTATGACATTGATCTGTGAAGGCATAGTTCGTAATTTGCAGTGATAAATACTAGATTAGAATAATAATTACTTGTAATAGTATAAATTACCTTTGATCTTCTCAGGTGAAACGTCTTGATCGTCATTACTGAGCAGTATTTCTACATTGGAGCACATTCCTTCACAATTCAAACAGAGTCTGGTGCAACAAAAACGAACCCTTCTGCATCCGCAATTGCCCTTGCAGCCCTTCTGGCACTTGCTGGCAATGAGTGTTAGAAGTTTCTCTGGGGCTGGGTAGTACGTTTTCCTTTGAACTAGGAGGCCCGTTGACCATATATGGACCTCACTCACGTTTGACAATTCCTTAAATGTAACCTGGACATACCAGGTAACCATAAAATAATTGATTTTAGAGTTGTATGAAGTTGATAGTAGGGCAGCAGCGCGCAGTTCGAATAACGTTTTCAACTTTTTTAGCGGAAAGTCAAGAAATTACATTTATTCAACACGATCTAACGACGTTATGGATTGTCCAGACCAGGGGTCGGCAAGTAATTTTAAATGGGGTCCTGATACATTTGAAAATTTTTAACGAGGTCCAGAAAAAAAATTCATATTTCTTATTTTTTTATTTTAATTTGGACTCAAATTTAATCTGCTTACTAACCATTAAGAACTCACACTCACACAATTGTAAAATACTAGAAAACATTTTTTAAATAATTTATTTGAGTAATTTATACTTTCAAAAAATTTTTGGCGGTCCAGTATTTTACCTTTCGCGGTCCGGACCTGGACCGCGGTCTGCCAGTTGCCGACCCTTAGTCCAGACTTTAGAGTTATTATACGTATTTATAAAAAATTTTGTCTGCTTTAATTTGGTATATCACAGTTATAATCAAAAAACGCTTAGTTTTCGAGTTACAGTTAAAAAACTCAAAAAAGTGCCGAAAATTTGAAGTTATTTACAATTTTCCTTGTGAAGCCGTTGCCTGGCGAGGTGGTAAATCTCAGATTCGGATTCAGTAGCCCAAAAAACATAAAGAACCGGTAAGAAAAAACCTTCTACATTTTTTCCTGGAAACGCCGTTTTTGAACTATATAAAATAAAAGACAAATTAGAGTGATATATTAAAACAATAATAATAATAATAATAATAAAATGATCAGATACAAGACATACCTGATAAAATGAAAGAACCATTGTTTGACGAAGAAAATGAGGTATGAGCGTTTTCCTTCAATTGTTGAGTGACATGTCTCCCAAAACTATAAGAAGTCTATACCGACGACGTGGCAACTAAAGCCTTAATTATATTTAACCATGAACAACGGCCACGGAAGTCTGCAAACTAAATGGAATTTCTATTTCAGAGACAAAATTTACCCCTTCCTAAAGAATTTAATGGATATGTACTAAAGAAAACCCAAAAAGTTGTTGACGCAATGGTTGCTCGTGGAGCCACAAACATAATCGCTGCTCTCGAGACAGCCTTGTATGTTATAAAGGCTGATCAAGAGCGCAGTGCTATGGATAATAATAAAAAACATCAACCAATTATGGTATTTTTAACTGATGGTGAACCAAACGGTGGTATATCATCAACAGACAAAATCATCGAAGTGGTATGTGCTAGCAAATAAAACTTGTTTTTTCTACTATCATCGTCAAGAATATATTATTATTCTGTCTATTGTTAAAAGCGGTACAAACATTTCATTTGCTTTTTGTTTTCAGTAATCGAATTGCAAGCATGCCTTGTCGATATTCCGACGTTGTCGCGCATTAAACAGACATAGACCGGGTCAATCATTTTAGTTCTCATAAGTATGTCAGATTCAATTCTGGGTTAAAATCCATACTAATAGCCTTAAATCTGTGTTGTACCATCAGATGGGAAGATTTAAGGCCACAAAAAATACCCAGGAACAAATAGAACAGAGCTATCACAGAAATCAACGAAAACAGAAGAGACGTCGAATGAACTACACATTCATGTAGGCACAGTATAGACAGACCAGAAGGGACAGCGTGTTATTTATGAAATCCGTCAGTAAATTATTTGGCCTAGCTATTTTAATAGAAAAAATAAGATCACTCCCAAATGGTAGACGTATATTCAGTGAGCATTTACAAGTCGTGGTTTCTTGGTCTGGTTCGATTGAGTATAGGTTTCCATAACATACAAATAATATATAGTTTTTTAATCCTAAATATATACACCGTTTCTAGTTTGTCTTTCCTTTCTAGCAATTTAAGTGAAAGATTTCAGAAAACTTGGGTAGTTAGGGATATCCACACCCCCTCGCCTGCGATCGAATCGCATCACGAAAAGATAGAATGGAAATGCTCGCTGAACCGTATACGTCTGCTTTAGCATATAGTTGATGTCGACGGATCTTCTAGTTTCGTTCAATTTAAAAATATATTTAATTTATATTAAATAATCACATACGCTATTTGTTACTTTTTAACAAATTGGAAAAAATTAAGTACTACTTTATATCAGTATCAGTATCAGCATATCAGTAGTATAAGCTTGCCAGTACAATATCTGCAATTTTTGATGCTCTGTTGTCAAAAATTACATTGACAATTTTAATTTAATTTTCAATATACTACTTCCCATATGACTCTGTAACTGCAGACTTACGCTAGAATGTTTGTTTTAGTTACAGGAATCTCTACAGTCATTAAAGAATTATTTTGGAAAGTTTGTTTCGATGATAAGCACCTGTCAATCTCATTACCATTATCTTTATTAGTAAAGACTTTCTCATCAGTAAAAAAAGTAATAACTTATTCTCTTCCAAAAATGCTTGCCTTAGGTTTATAGCAGTCACTTTGCGTTTTAAATCATACAGCTGACGATTTCATATATTTGAATTTTTTACTTAAATAAACACTGGTTCCGGTACTTTGAAGATTTTTTTTTGCTGATATCAACTGACTCCATGTCTTCCTGTGGAATAATTGAAGAATCAATATAATCACTTTCGCTAATAAAATAAGATTATTGTAAAAATGTCTTTAAAAATTGCTTTCATCCACTTCTGGTGCCGCAAAAATAATAGTAATAGGTCTTATGTTTATTTACTTACCTGGCGATTATATTGACACATGATCTTGTTTTCCATAATAAATTAGTTGATTTGAAAACGTTATTTTATGCAAAATTAAGACTTTGTTAGTAGAAAAAATTATGTATGCATTTTGTACCTCCAGCTTCTTTTTTGCACTAACATGTGCAAAAAACTGATACAATTAATGTTTTAGACACAAACATAAATACCTTTCAATCTATCACTTGTTTTAGGTAACGCAACTAAATTCGCAAAACAATAAAGTTCCTATATACTCTCTGTCTTTTGGAAATGGCGCCAAAAAAGATTTTTTGAGAAAGTTATCCTTAAAAAATCAAGGATTTTGGAAACATATCTACGAGGCATCAGATGCTTCTCTCCAGTTGCAGAATTTCTACAAAGAGATATCGTCCCCTTTGCTGACTAGTGTAAAATTCGAATATGAGTCTGAAGTTAAGGAAGTTACTGTAACAGAGTTTCCAATTTATTTTAATGGATCAGAGCTAGTTGTGGCTGGAAAATATGAAGGTATTCTATGGAAATAGAAAATATAAAACGTGTTTGGAACAATTATATGTTATACATGTTATACTAACTTCAGAATATCTAATTTTCTCTTCCATATAAGTTCCTAGTCAAGACTAATTTTCAATATAAAATATTCCTTGCTTTGTAAACACAGATTTGTTCGTCTATAGAATGTTTTGTGTATACTGAGAGATCATGATGAATAAACTACTACAGCCATTCACAAAAAGTGCAAAATCGCAAATCTGTTCGGTTCGATATTGTTATAAAATGAATAGGGTTGTAAAAGACACCACCGAGTCCAAACCAACTATTTTAATTGGGAAAAGATATACAGATCAAGCTCGGTCTATCTATTGACACCGTAACGAACTGACTGAATAATACTTCCTTTAGCATTTCTAGGGTGATCTCATTTATAGTATACAAAAGCCTAAACGCACAGTCTGCAATACCAACGCCTCGCCGGTCGTCAAGACCAAGCGAAATCTGCTACGCTATCATTTTAGTGGACTCTAACATTCGGCCATCCTGTACATGCGGACTGTCCCAGACCGCCCGCCGCGCCGCCATGGTGTTCGTCCAGCTACCTGTCAACAAAACATAAATAAATCGTCTAAATCGACTACTACAGTCACAGGCAATATCGGTCCGTAACCAAAGCCATAACTTTCTTTTCTGTACATTCGTAATCAACTTCTAATACTTATACTTCTAGTATACTTCACTTAACTCATACAAATTACTCAGAGGCAGTAACGACCTCAGTCACTTGTCTAGTCAGAGGCAGTACCGGCCTCAGTCACTTGTCTACTCAGAGTCAGTATTGGCCTCAATCATTTGTCTACTCAGAGGCATTATCGGCCTCAGTCACTTGTCTACTCAAAGGCAGTATCGGCTTCAGTCACTTGTCTACTCAAAGGCAGTATCGGCCTCAGTCACTTGTCTACTCAGAGGCATTATCGGCCTCAGTCACTTGTCTACTCAAAGGCAGTATCGGCTTCAGTCACTTGTCTACTCAAAGGCAGTATCGGCCTCAGTCACTTGTCTACTCAGAGGCAGTATCGGCCTCAGTCACTTGTCTACTCAGAGGCAGTATCGGCCTCAGTCACTTGTCTAACCATTACATACCTGGTGTATCTACGTATTGGCTCCGACAACAAGTAGGTAGACCGACCTCAGTTGTTATATTCCCAGCCTCAATACTCTTCCACCATCATCGCATTCATAACATCAAACATCTTTATATAACATCACACGCCTCGACTCAAACAATAGGCAGGCAGTATCGGCCTCGGCTATCATCATCCTTGTCTTGACGTTTTGTGACCTAACTACGTTTTACTAACCTTACATTTGCATCAATTGAAGATTCCTTTTGTTTGCGCTGATCAAGGTCAATATGCTTTTTCATAGCACTTCTCAAATCAGAGATGTTTACGCGATCCACAGCTGTTTGTATTGAATTCAATAACTTTACTTCAGCCATCGGCCTTGCCTGATAACCAAATAATGCCCGAACTGGCGTGGTGTTTATACTCTTATTAAATGTAGTATTCAACGCATTTTGCACTTTTGTACGTGAATGTCCCATTAATTACTGTCTGATTTAATACTTGTAGTGGCTAACATATTGAGTATGGTTCTATATATCTTTCACACTGTCCATTTGATCGCGATTGCATTTAAGACATGTTTTATTGCGTAAGATTCACAAAATATACGGAATGTTTTGAAGTATAAGCCGAGCCTCTGTCCGTAATAATACGCACTGTCACTCCAAAAATACACGCTTTGTAACGCTCGCGTCACTGGTTTTACTTTCAGCATTCATTGGATAGGGATTATTCACCACTTGACTTGGTACTGCAACTTCGTTGATATTGTTACCTTTTCTCGTTTATGTTTTTGTAAGGGCACTTATTTTGTTTATGCCCAAGACGCTTACACTGAAAACATTCTAATCGTGGTTTAGAACAGTCTTTTGCACGATGAGGTCTGTTACAATTATAACATCGAATTTCTGACTTTTGGGTAGTAGTAGCACCATCTTTCACATCTCTTCGCCGTGACAACCCTCTGGACACGCTTTGCCAGCGGTTATTTTTCGTTTCATCCGGAAGGCGTCCCAATGTGCTTAAATAGGCATACAGCTCGTTTGTATTTGTGAATCTTGACGAACGAGCAGATCTGGTTACGTTTTCGTCAGTAATTCCTCCAATCACTGCGTCAACTAGATAACTTCGTGGAATATTCAGTTGTAAAGATTTCAACCAATCTAATTTATTAAAACAATATTCACTTAAATCTTGACCTCCGTGTGTTTCATACAATGCAGCTTCTCGAAGCAATTTAGCAAACGGCAGCGGTTTTGTAAATTGTTTAATTAGCAACTTCTTCATTTTCTCCAATTTATGTCAAGGTGTCACCTTCTAGCCATACTAATTTTATCACCGTTAAATCGTCCCATCTATAGGATTCCGCTAACTCATCAACTTTGCGAACCCATAAATCTATCGATTGCACTCTGCGGATCAAACGTAGGTATTAACTTTCCATCACTGTAACTCGGGTGGGAAGGAAAACGCCTATGATGCTTTGAATGTCTTTGCCTTTTTGTCCTTCGTCTTTTCTGCTGCTTCCTGTCGCTAGTTGAAGAACTCGAGGGCGAAGTCGACGTCGAACTTGTAGAACCGGCCCGTTGGAGTTTAGCTACATTTAACGCCTTTTCCGCTTGTATAACTGACTGACACACTGTTGTTGACGTCGAAGGACCCGGGCGCGGAGAAAGGGACGGCGTTGTAGTTTCCCTTACAGACATGATGTACTCCTAACACTAACGTCACTATACTGTGGGTGAATTTAGGGCAGATATCCCACTTCTGATATATAAGATGAATAGGGTTGTAAAAGACACCACCGAGTACAAACAAACTATTTTAATTGGGAAAAGATATACAGATCAAGCTCGGTCTATCTATTGATACAGTAACCAACTCACTGAATAATACTTCCTTAAGCATTTCTAGGGTGATCTCATTTATAGTTTACAAAAGCCTAAACGCACAGTCTGCAATACCAACGCCTCGCCGGTCGTCAAGACCAAGCGAAATCTGCTACGCTATCATTTTAGCGGACTCTAACATAGACAAGACTAATTTTCAATATAAAATATTCCTTGCTTTGTAAAACACAGGTTTGTTCGTCTATAGAATGTTTAGTGTATACTGAGAGATCATGATGAATAAACTACTACAGCCATTCACAAAAAGTGCAAAATCGCAAATCTGTTCGGTTCGATATTGATACTGATAATAGTTATTTATGTATAGTTGTTACGATCTCAATCGGAACCGGATAGAAACATTTAACTCATAAATTCTACGGAATCCATAGACGTCCAGAAAAATTTGGCCCTGTCTCGTCTAAGTATACTATATTCCGAGCTATATTGCCATATAATTACCATACGACTGTCAAGTTTTTTATATTTAAAATCGCATCGTAATACAGCATGTCGTAAAATATCTAAAGATTTATAATTATAATCGGGATAATCGCTCAATTTATCTCGAATCATGTTTAAAGTAGGAACTTTATTTTCTTTATACATACATATTATAAATTGTGCGCCGCATTACATCTGGGAAAATCGTCAATTTTCTTTAATTTTGTATTTTTCCGTTTCCTCTTTATACCGTGATCAATCCTTCTTTAATTGGCCTTTTTTGTATATCTTAGTTAATTCGTTAATCCGTTTCCTAACTTTTTCTATCACATTGTTCACTATTTTCAATTTTCAAACATTCATATATATTTAATATAATACGTTGACTTTTTACGTGTAAATCTTTGTTTTTAAACTCAGAGTTTGTTTCGATACTTTCGACAAAAACCGGTTTCACTATATGGGGATTTTCCCCAGTTATTTCGTTATCCTCCGCTTCAAAGAGTCTCCAGAAAGCCACGCTAATTTACTAGATAATTACATATAAAATTTATTTTTATAACTATTACCCTTTACTGGTTACGACATGGACAAATAATAATAACTAATAAATAATAATACGTATTATACCAACAACAAACCCCGCCAAGCAATGCTCTGCACGGCACTGACAAAGCGGCAAAGCTAAGTGAACCCGTGTACCATACAAAAAAATTATTTACGACCTAGTAGACCAATACAGGTTTGCTTTGATGACCAGCGCGCCGCCGTCAATTCTACATCAGGCGGACTAGTTTATATATCAGGTGGACTAGTTTACCAATACCGCACTCTCCGAATTACGATTCGAATATAAGTTACGAGACACATCATGGTGAAAGCATAAGAAGAAATTTCAGGAGAACTGTATACGGTCCTGTGCTTTAAGATTTACAAGTTTCAATTGACATCGTAACAACTATACCAAGTAAGTAAAGTGATTCCTTATTGAATAAGCCGAGCGAGTGAAGCGAGCAAGGCGAGTAATAGGTGAGTTCGATACACTTTACTGACGTGGTGCATACAAAATGTTATTGCAAACCGTAAAAATTTATAATTTAGAAAAATGGAGATATAACATCACATTTTATTATGACAAAGTAAACAGAAAAATAACAAAACAAATCTACTTATTTTTTGTTAAATAGGTATTAAAAGTGAACGTACACTGACGCATTATGAAAATTAATTCCTGAAGTCGAAGGATTATTTCTACGTTAATAATCTGTAGTAGAATTATCATTGGTAATAATTATGTTCTCAGTTTGATCTTCACCTAAATTCGTTTTTGCGACTTTCGTTTTGTTGCACAAATTCTTCAACAAAGGATTCTGCAATCATGTCGCTTTTCCACCCTCCGTGACTTTTTAAATTTTCCTTGCCTGTGTTGGCAAAGAGAGTGGCGGACGTCGACGAAAACAATGTTCCCTATAGATGGTTCTGGCAAATGCAGATAGTTGGCAATTTTGCTTGGTACACTTCCAAATGCATGGATTCCAACTGGCTGGCTGGA